TAATAATTATTTAATTGTATATTCTAATAGTGATTTAGAACTATAAATTCCAATATAATAATCACTTATAAATAGGTTTAATTATAATTATTATAATGTATATTCTAATATGTTTATTATAAATATTTTTATTATGATTAGGAACTAAATATTAATATGAAATGAGCAATTATATTTAAAATTTATATTCTGAAATAAAATTGTTATTATATTTTTTATTATAACAAACAATAATAGATATTATTTTTGCTATTATGAGTAAATTATAATCATATAATTTTATATACCAATAGTATTTAATTGGAATTTTAAGTATATTGTATCATATTTCAATGAATATTATCCTAAAATTTTATTATTTTTGTTATTATGAGTACATATGATTATACAATTATAATCATATAATTATTATATACCAATAGTATTTATTTAGAATTTTAAGTATATTATATCATATTTCAGTGAATATTATCCTAAAATTTAAATTTTTCAATGATCTCTCCCTCCCTAAGATAAATTTTCAAGGATCTCTCTCGGTGATTTACTCTCCTTTCTCTTTCACTACTACTCTCTCTCTCATTCTCTCTCACATTCTCTCCCTCCCTAAAAGATTGGAAAATCTACCCATCTCCTTGATTTTCTCTCCATTCTTTCCTTTCAATTTCCTTTCCACGTACTATCACTCTATCTTCTTTTTTTTAAGGTTAATGGTAATACTCTCTCTATCAATTCCCTAATATTTTACTCAATCTCTACCTATTTATCCCCAACTCAATTATAGGCATCTATCTCTTCATGATAATTTTTCCTTGGGATAGAGATATAATCATATAATTATAAATTTTAGATGTACTTCCTCTTTGCATGGGAATACTCATGCTACCTTACAAAATTATAGGAATGAGATTTTTGATATAGAATTATGCTTAAATAACCAAAATAATAGGAATGATATTTTGGAGTGAAGCATGTCACGTAAATCATAAGAAAGAAATTGTAGAGAGAGATTCAAATATATTTCTGAAAATCTTAAAGTCCAATATAAACCATGTTGAAAAAACCGGGTGATCTAACCAGTAATCTCTCCGTGAGACTCGAACCGGCCACTTGCCGGTTCTGGTTTCGAGCGGTTTTCGTGATCGACTGGTATTTAAAAAAATATATCAAAAAATTGTATATAAAATCCCAAAAATAAATAATTTGGTATGTAATACATTTTTTAATATTGTTTACATCATGGTAAAGATTAGAAATTGTTTTGGTCATTAATACCCACTTTTATATTTTCCCATCTTTTATGAAAAAATTTAAAAATAGCCCTAGGCACAAATCGATTATTTAAAATCCATTTTTTCATTTATTTTCAACTTCATTTGAATGTGTTTTATTTTAATCATTCTCTATATGTTTTTCATATTTTACTAGATCTTTTTTGTATATTTTTCATTTTTTAAAGCAAGTTTTTGACCACCAGGGACTTGCCCGGTTAGAACCGGTTGAATCGGCCTGTTTACCCGTTAGGCCGGTTAAATGGCTTCCGGCCCCATGCCCTGTTAACCATTCCAGTTAGATTTTGCAAATACTGGAATAGAGATAATGGAGTATATTGTATTATAGAAAAAGTTTATAAAGGTTGAGTCTCTAAACAATCAAATTAAGGCACCTAAAAAATTCACTAGAATAGGTTGTTTCGATGTGAAAAAGCCCTCAATCGATCATCTTGACCTCGAGATTTATAGATGTGGAAGAAAATGGTCTAGGACATAGTGCATCTTGTAATGCATTATTTGGGCCATTAATTTTCAATATTTTCAAGAGTGTTCATGGATCTGCTCGATATACACTATTTCTAAAGTTCTAAATTTTATAATTAGAGAAGAAAATAAATTTTCAGGCCATCACAAAAAATTTTCCTACTGAAAAATATCTTTTGACACTATTTAGAGGTATGCCTTACTTTGATTGTTTAGGGCCTCAACCTTATACAAACCACACCCTTATATTATTACACAATATACTATATTATATTATGTATGTATATTAAAAGTAGGGGTGAAATTGTTAAATTAAAAAAAAAGATTCTTTTGTTTCTCAAACTATGCACACATGCACCATGAAAAGTCTACAGTAAGAGAGTACCATAAAAAAATGAGGTTATAGGGTCATGCAAAGAAAGAACTAAAATGTATCCTTAGACCACCACTCCAGTTTTTCAATGGCGTTCATGAAACCTTTGAGATATATAATGCAATATAATTAACATACAGACATGCATGCGTACACACTACTATAGTATAGTGAGCAGTAAATAGTGTATATAGTCATCTGAAAATTCATCTAAATCATGTATATTATTAAAAAAATAAATCATCTAATCATATATCTAATGATTAAATCATAAAATAAGGAGTGAGCTTAAGGGATTAGCTCCAGGAACACAGAACCGTGTCTGAGGAGTCAGAGCATCCCCTAGGAAAGGTGATCCTGGTAAACATGCTCAAAGCCAGAAGAAGATGTGAAACCTTAATACCAAAATTGACCCTCACCCTTTATTAGACTTGGTTTTCTAAGCTATATTGTCATTTGACATAAACAAGGGAATGTGATAAGTGGTGTCATATCAACTTCACCGAATAAATGCTATTGTCCTCTAAATTGTGGCTTAATATAAATCTCACTCGTGCCCCATTTAAATCACCCAAATTGTATAGAGTGAAAATTAAATCTACCAAAGAGTAAGAAGATAATCCTTGCAACTAGGGGTACAAAACTTGTTCTAACCTTGACATCTTGGTTTTGTTGAGGTTAGAAAACCCTTAAGCAAAATATAAATAAAGAACTTGATGAAGTGCATATGTTAAGATGGTTAAATACCAGTTCCATCATTTGCTATTGGGACACCATCAAATGCGAGAATTATGTCATCTTTCTTGAGAACTCTATGGGCATCTGAAATAGGATTTATCTTGCTCACGAGCACCCCAGTCATCTCAGGGTGCATGTGGAAATGCTCTCGCAATTGTGCATTTTCTGAAGGTTGGCATGACAGGCCCAATGAACAAAACCCTACATACTTTCCACTTTCATCCACATCCGATAGAAAATGTTTTATTACAGGAACTGGAATTATGTACCTACACAAAGCCAGTTAAAAAATATCAGACTTCATGAGAAGTCAGTAGGTTATCAGTGAAATTCATCACATAGCCCCAAAAAATATATGTACTACTAAATATGGTGCACAGCTAGCCATTGATATTTCTGAAAACAATTGATCAAAAAGTATAGGACATAAAATTAAACAGTCAGAAACAAATCTGGCCCTACTGCTGGCCTTGGTCTCCCATTCCAGGCTTACCACATTCACAAATCAAATATCATTAATGGTAATTGGTAGGAGTAACAATCCTGGCAGAACCAATACTATGTAGGGGAGGAGAAAAGTATTCAACAACATGTGAGACGAACCATGAAATAGCAAACGCACCACAATATGTCTTCATACTACTAAGACTGGGTCTAAGAAAGGTAACCTAATCCAAGTATTGATCCACATTAAAATTGAACACGACAACAGGTTGAAGGACTAGGCAAGGCTAATGCAGCAAGTGACAAGACACACCTATAAGTAATAACAATTTAGGAAGCACAAAAAGAACCATAAGAGGACAAGGCAAAGTAGGCTTGCCTCATATATTTTGAAACTCACCCAATATTTTCCGCACCTGAAAGGTTTTGAAAAGCGACTCCCGCAACCTTGTCACCCATAATTGCAGGACCACCACTATTTCCTGGGTTAATGGCTGCATCAATTTGTATAGCCATGAGTTGTGTGGCACCATGAGCATATTGTGTTGGCTCAACTCTAGAAACAACCCCCTTTGTCACTGAAATACTGTCACCACCTGTATACAGACAGAGCTAAAGTTACAAGGAAATCTAAAGGAAGGAACCAAGCTTATCGCATAGTAGAATCATCTGGTTATATCTTATAAAATTCTATCAACATTACATATCGGAATCAAATTCAGGCTCAGAAAGCTTGTTACATTCGCGTGCATACAAAAGCATCACATAGCTGTCCTCTTGTAGTCTGAAGAGAATACAGGGTATTCTAACCCTACTATAAACTAGGTTTTTCCAGTGGAAGCTTCAAATGGAGTTGCACAGAGATGCATCACCATCAGCTAATTGCACATCACTCTATTTATGAGTCGAAAACTGGCGACTGATTAGTTAGACTTCCTAGGTCAATCCAATATTCTAACTACTTGATAATTAGCTCATTTTAACCAGCCAATTTGATGACATTAGAATCTATCAACATGTTCTGTGAAGTGTCTGACACTACAATGCATTCAATCACAACATCCCGGAACATATGGTAGGTTCCACAACTGAGTTATGTTTTGCAGCTAACAAGATCAAACCATAGGCTCTGCAGATAGGTTCTAGAAACAATAGACACAAAATATTTATGGTAAAGTTCAGAAAATGCATCATCGGAAACAGTGGATAGGCTGAGCATAGCATCATCATGTAATCTCTCTCCCTTAATCTCACTACCACTTTAGCATGTGCATTATTTTTATCGATGATAACTGTATAGTATACTCATGAAACAATGCATGCATGTGTGCATTCACTCATACCAAGACATGCACATAAGCTCAACACCATAAAGCTTTTTGAAGCAATACTCTACCAACACCATCTTGTGATAAGGATTTAAAAATACTGCAATCGGATAAATCAAATTGTACTATGTTCAGTACTTGTTCAAATTTCTTAAGCACTTTCTCAGACATGTTACTAAAATAAAAGTCAGTGCTCTTTGTGCCATCAATTAAAAATATCTAAATTTTTGAAATTCCAAAAAGATACAAGTTCACAATTGGATATTGTATTCTAAAAAGAAAAAAGTTAAATAACATCAAGGGACACTTTAAAAAACTTGCACATAGCTTCGATGTCTTGTCATTCTCGTGAGGAAGAGGCATTGATGCAAGCTTGATCGCAAAAACCAGAACAAGGGAGAACTTGCTTAAAATACAAGACCCTTTAAAGCATAAGATACATCGAGTTTCATATCATAGGAACATCAAGAAATGATCCTTTTATGCTACTCACCAGCATTTTGTTGAGCATGTTCATAGAAATCCTATTTGTGATAATTTGAGGACTTCACATGCTTTGTGCTCTCTCAAACCTTAGCAGGATTTTCATCAATCCCTTTCAAACCATCTTTAATGTATCTAACATTAAGCTTCAATATATGATAATAGTTATCTGACGTGGACCAAACAGCCATCAAAAGGAAACTTTTCTTCTCTTGTCGCACCCCTAAAATACTTTCTGAAAAAGGGTGAATTTTCTTCTCAATTAACTCTAAGAGTTTCTGATGTAACATTGGTAGAATGAACATCTAGAGTTCTGGTGATAACTATATACTTCATTCAATCAAAAGCATTGAGGTTGCATTAACTACTAGCAAACCACTACAAGGAGTCAACACATTTACAAAATTCAGAGATTCATTCCTAAATATCCAATAATTATCTACAAAAAGGCAGTTAAGCCCATGTACACAATTATTTGAATAGAGCTCCATGAAGCATAAATCAGTAGTTGAACAAGTGACAAGTCTTGCAACATATTACCTTTCTCTACCCTTTTTTCTTTTTTTGACGGCATCATTTCTCTTCTGTTTACTATACAATTATAATATATTAGCCTTTGTAGTATTTCTTGTGAGTAGATTAAAGGGTGGGTTACGAGTAGCTAGAAGTGCTCCGCAAAAAATGATCAACCATGCTAAATAGGTAATATTATCTTAGACGGTCTTCTTTATATTACTTAGTGAAATGTACATACTTTACTGTCATAACGCAGAATTCAAATTATAATGTCAAGGGCTGCTCAAGCTAGTGAAAGCACTGATCACATTTTAGCAACCTCAATATCCTCTAACGATAAATGTCAAAAAACATCTCACAGTAGGAAGGAATTCAATGGGGTTGCGGGGTCAAATGAGAAGAAGGTTAGGTGTAACTATTTGACACTCCTTTTTCTGCTACTCCTTTTATATGCCAGTCCTTTTTTTGTCGAGCATAAGATAGTTGAAGCTGATGAAGAGCTCCGTTATGAAATAGAAAATCGGATATACTACATAGTAGTCACAATGAAATAAAATAAACTACAAAGATACTTCTCTTTTTCAGAAATCCACTAAATAAATACTGAGAAAATAGATAGAATGCCTTTCCCTAAAATTTAGCCGAGTGTACCAACTCAAAGTAGTCAAGTTCTTGAGAAAATCTACACATTCTTTATAATTTAACCAAAGGAAAAGAGCCTTAATTCCAAAAACGTATTTAGCACCCTCATAATAGGACAATCTAACATGAACACCATGCTAATTGAAAGGAAAGGCTACTAGAGTTGTAGAGAAAAGTTGAGACATTATTAAATGTTGACTAGAAGGATGGACATGAAAATTATTAAAGATAAAATTCAAACTCTTGAAAGTTTATCCTTGGTAAAATCTGAGCCAACTCAAAGATAGTTAACATGAAAGTGATGAACTTAAATGAAATTCTTGCTAACTGAAACATTCTAACAACATATTCCTAAGAACATACTTCAATTTGCTAACTGAAACATTCTAACAACATATTCCTAAAGAACATACTTTAATTTTCAACATATTTACTAGTTTTACCAGACTGTAATCCATTCTTAAAAACCATATTTCATTGGTTTTAAGTGCAAGAAAAGTATTTTACAGCCAATGTAAAAAAATCTTAAGAGTTCAACTATAGGCATGTCAGATTTCGTAACAAATGTATGACTCCAATAAACAATTAATGAGTAATTCATAATAAAAACAAGTATAAAGTTTTAGTGTCTCTTCCATGCCTTAGCATTTGCATTATGTCTAGGAATAGAATTATCCAATTAGTGTCTTCATGTGACTAAAGGAACCAACACTCTAAATTCATCTCCATAGAGATAATGGCATCAAAAAATACGTTGAACAAATGACTTCATCCATATTTATATGTAGATTTTTTTTTCAAAATAAATGTTGAGATATTTGCCCAAAAAAATAAAAGTAGCACACACAACACAAACTTATTTATTAACAGAAGAAATCCTTACTCTGAACTAATAATAAAAAAAAAAACAGAAGCTACCTTGAGGGTACCCAACAACAGCGACAGATTCCTGTAGGAATGGAATGTCCCCAAGCTCAAGAAAGTGCATTCCCTCCCAAAATTCTTCACTTTCAACAACAATAAGTGCGAGATCACATTCATGTCCGACTGCTTGAACTTCAGCTCTATACTTAGCAGGAGAACCATGCTTCCTGACACGAACAAATGTATGATCCGCTACTACGTGTGCATTGGTCAGAATTCGTCGTCCAGGGATAACAAATCCTACAATTAAATGAATAAAAAATGTTAATAACAAGAAAGTAAACCAAAAGGCACATAATCCACTTCTTTATGATTAGAAATACTAAGAAGTAGAAGAGGATACACAAACAAAGTAAGGTTTTCCTTTATCTATTTCTTTTTGAAAGAGACAAGTATTATTCATCATGGACACAACATGCATAAATTGTAAAGAGAATATCAATACAATCAAATAATTCCTTTTTGGCATCATAACACTATTGATCATTTTCATGTTACCTTCCAAACTGATTGTGAAATTGATCCACATTTATGCATCATATGCACGATACTCTATCACTCATAGAACAAAGGATCCAAGACTGATTCAGTCAAAATATCAAATCACTAACATAAAGAATGGCCTAAGAATATCAATATACAAAGAGATTGAATAGCATATGATAAAAAATATAGTAATCCAAGAAGCAATTAGACTTTGCACAACTGCAACAATTAAAAAACAGGGCTTTCCACAATAATAGAAATCAAACCAAAAACAACCGCTAGATCGTTATGTACAACATTTTGAAAAAATCAAAGGGAATGATACTTCAAATTCAAAAAAAAAAAAAGGCTGTGTATGGCTTTTCATGGGAAAGACCAATAAAAATGATGATATTATGAAAAAACAAAAACAGAAGTTGACCGAACAAAGTGAGCAAGCAATCAAACAAACAAATGAAAGATAAAAAACACATTAACTTTTGAAACCCAACAAATTCAATTTTTTAAAATGCATGAAAAAGTAACTAAAAACCCATCAAACAACTTACCCTTCTCTACTATCACATTAACCGTTCACAATCGAAGAGTAGGCCACCCAAGTTCAGCCCTCTTTTTCTTCAATATCTCTCTTTTCCTTTTTTATTCTATCTAGCATGCCGAGGCCGGTGCGACCTGATAGGCCTTAGGCCGGGCAAGAGTCAGGACTCTTTGGCCCATTCCAGGCATATTGGCGCATATTGGCGATAGATGGTCCAGGCATATTGGCGATGGATGGCCCCGCCAGTTGCCAGCCCTATCAAAGAGGGCAATGAAATAAGGAAAAAAAAAAAGAGAAGTACCTGATCCCATGGTTTCTCTCTGAGACTTGTTCTGCCATGGAAGGAAGTAATTGGGGCTACTGGAAACTGTGAAAACCTTTACCACAGCATCAATCGCCAGATGAATGGCAGCATAAGCATCTGTAAACTGAAACCCATCTGCCTCTTCGTCAGTCTCTTCAACTTCCTTTGCTTCTCTCTCAACCTTTTCGAATGTGGGTGGTGGGTAAATGCGAGGAGTGAGAATGCGGGAAGTTGGGTTGAGAAGAGAGGTTGTGGAGGTGGTGTAGAGAGCGGGAGAGAGATGGGTGGCGGGTGTAGAGAGAGAGGGAGAGAGATGGTTAGAGAGAGAAGGGAGGGAAGGTGAGAGACGGTAGACTCGGCGAACAGCTCTGAGAGTGGTGGGAAGAAGCATAGCGGCGGTTCGGGAAGAAGAGAGACTGGGCGGGTGGCTTGGGAGGGGCGGAGGGTTTGGGCCAGGGTCAAGCTGAACGAGTCCCTCCCAAATATGAATTGAATGAAAAATAGACAATGAAATGAAAAAGATAAAAAAATGAAGGCTTCAGTAGGTGCTAGGCGTATCTATGGGGGAAAGGTTTCCATACAGCATAGAAGATCTACGCTTCTCCTACCATCAAGCCGTTCAATTTTGATAAAGAGAGACACTCACTATTTGATCTTAGATTCGACGTTTCAAAGTATTTTATTTTTAGCGTTTTTTATACAAATTGTATGAATATAAAATTTGATATATACCATATTCTCATCGGAGCGTACCTATAAAAAATATTAAAAATAAATTTTTGCTAATTTTATTTTATTGAAAATATTTTTTGCTAGTACGAGTTTAATAGAGGATTGGACGGCCAAAATTTGGTTTCAAAATAGTTTATAGGAAAAAAATTAAAAATAAAATAATATAAAGACGTAACATTGTGATTGGGGCAATCTTAGCCCTCCATTCAATATGGACAGTTGGATAAGGGAAAGTATATAAGTTTTATACTGTAAGGGAAGCATAGAAAGCTTGCCCATACGTATATATACAGGAAAAAGTTTAGGAATTATACATAGTGCGACTATTTACTTTTGATACAAGCCGGTCACAATTTAGTGGCCATAATTCCCCACAACCATTTGATGTGAAATTTGATAGTTTGGATGTGTCATGAAGTTCGAAAAATTTTCTTTTGAAGTTTGAACTTAGTCAATGGAATAATTGCAACCACCCAATGTCACATCCAATGGTCAAGATTAATAGGACCACTTTGTATCAAAAGTAAATGGTCTCATTCTATACTTTCTCAAAGTTTATATTGTTGGGTTTATGTGGCCTTATGAGTGCTTGTAAAATGAAATGATAGAGTGGAATATGAACTCAGTGGGAGTGTGGTCTCTCGTGGACCATATTAAGCAAACGATGTTTGTTATACCGGATTGTGTTTGACGATCTAGGCCAGTCGCTTGAGAAAGACCCATGTTACCTGGGCATAAACAACAAATCAAGAACGATTCTAATGTGTTAGCCCTTGATGAGGTCGGAGAATATGCCCGAATGAGTGAGCCGAGGGACTGTGTGACCCTCATGTGTGATGATGACCTTCAGATACGGGGGCCAAAGTCTCATCCATGTGCCATCACACGGCATGCATATCGATAGATCATTTGATAAAGCTAGAAATCCACCTTTTGGGTGAAGCGTATGCATGTGCGAGAGATACCCTGATGCACCATAGGAGCTGTGGTCTAATCAGGTCTAGGTGACATTGACTCGTCTCTAAAGGAGGACTTGAACTCCACATATTGGGATTGCGACCTCTTGGCTCATCGGCTAGACTTTAAGGACCCGCTAATAGGCTCTTGCTTGGACTGTGGGTCATGAAAAACACTGAGTCGATCTGATAAAGCAAGGGTGATTTGTAGTCCACAGTTGAAGGTAGAGTGCCCCATGACTATTGATTCCTAAACAAAATGGATATTTTTCCCATCAAATTAATTTAATTGTATTTGTTTTACGATGAAAATTATTTTAGGATTATTAGTTGAATTTTTATGAACCTCTGGATATTTTATTTATAATTTTTAGATTTATAAAATTGAAGATATTGATTTTACAATGGTTTAAATATTCAAATAATATTCTAAAATCCTTTTATTAATTTTAAATATATATAAAAATATCATGGGGGCCCATTGTGTACGTGGACCCACCATATTCCTAGAAGGTGGAACCCATAAGTGCCTCCTTTGGGTGGCACACCCCACCCTTGACTTGATATATCTTTGAAAGATTTTGAGAAAAGATTGAGTAGATTTCTGTTATTTTATAGTATGCACAATATTTTGATTAGATTTAATTATTTAATTTATATTAATGGGAAAATGGTTTATGAAATGGAGATAATGGTTCATGTACATTCCATAATGTTGATAGCCCATTTATGAAATACATGGCTCAAATCTCTCACTCCACAAGTCACGCACAATATTTTGATTAGATTTAATTTATTTAATTTATATTGATGGAAAAATAGTTTAAGAAAGGGGGATAATGGTTGACGTACCTTCTATAATATTAATGGCCTATATATAGAATGGATGACTCAAATCTCTCACCCCACAAGTTACCCAAGATCAATGATTCAAAACATATACCCAAAAATCTTTATACCTTATCTCTTGTACCTATTTCTCATATTTCTATCTCATATCCCACAAAGGGGCACTCCCCACTTAGAATTTCTCTTTTTCTTAAGAAAAACTTCTCTCTATCATGAAAGCCAAAGGGGGCACACACCACTCTCTCATTTTTGATTTTTCCCTCACACATTGTGAAAGAACCTAAGGGTTTAGGTTATAGAGTTATTCTCTCTCTTATTTTTCAACTATGGATTTATGGCTAAGGGTTTTAGAGTTTAGTAAAAAGATAACCCATCTCTCTCAAACTAGGTTACTATGAGAATTCACCTAGGGTTTGAATTTGTGATCAAAGGGATTCATGTTCTATTAGTGTGGCTTGTGACTTGACCTAAACTTACTTTTCCAATCATTGATCCCGCGCCATCGGATGGTGGTGACTTGGTATGGGGTGTGATAAGCCAAGTTGAGGTAATCTCCTACACTCTTTTTTTTGTTTCTTGCAATCATATTTTTTATTCTCAAGCATAATGCATAGTTGTTTAAATGACATCAAGTTGTTAAGATCTTGGTTTTATTGTTATGTTGATTTTATTTTGGAATTTATCTTATTGTAATAAAGATCACCTGTAAGTTATCTTTTGCCAAAGAAAAGGGGTGAAGAAAATAAAATAAATAAAATATTTATATATATATATATATATATATATATATATATGTTCCCCGGTAAAAGATCGCATAGGTCGTTCTTTCATATATCTATCGACAAATATAAACATTGATAGTAAATCGATTTTGCTCCAAAAAGTCGGAGGCAAAAAATCAAGTAAAAAATACAAATAGTAAAAAATTAAGTAATTTAAGTAATCGTGAATATTTGGGATTTGGCTCAAAAAGATGGAGTGAAAATATTAGATATATAAAGGTAACTTAATATAAGAGTATGACTTGCGGTTTTTGTATGTATATATTAAAGCTATTGAACTATCATTTTATGTCCATACGTAATATCGTGAGAGTTATACTTAACAAAGTTTTGTTTAAACTTTCAATGGATACAATAATAATGCTTATTTTGATGTCACGATACAAAACATATGATAGATTTTTTGGAAATGTATAATAAAACAATGATAACAATACTAAATGCAAAACTACATTAGCAAACAATGAAAGCAGTGACCCAAAGTATGAGATTATTGTGTGAAGAAGAAAAAAAAAAGATCCTCAATAAAGGATTGCTATTAACTAAAAACACAAAAATGTAAAATAGCGGTCTACCCAAATAGCTATGTACTATACAGTGTTCACAAAATCAAACCGGAAGGGTTAATTGGATATGGGCTCAGAAGTGATTTAACTGGTCTAACTGGTAAACTGGCCGATCCAACCGCTCTAATCGGGTAAGTCCCGAACGATCAAAAAAGTGTTGAAAAAAATAAAAAAGGTATAAAAAAACAAATCTAATAAAATATGAAAAGCATATAAAGAATGTGATTAAAACAAAACACACTCAAATGAAGTTGAAAATTATTGAAAAAAGTGGATTTTAATAAATCGATTTGTTCCCAGGGGTATTTTTAAAATTTTCTGAAAAAGATGGGAAAATATAAAAGTGAGTATCAATGGCCACAATTTGTTTTAATCTTTACATAATGTAAGTAATATTAAAATAATGTTAAAAAATTGACTTTACCAAATCTTTTTTTAAAAGAAAATAAAAAAAAAATAAGTTATATACAAATAGACCATTCTTTTTGTAAATACGTAGTAAATGACATATTGGTTAATAGATCTAATAGGCAACTAAATATTATATGATGCATTGGTTAGTGGGTTTAATAACAAATTATTTCTTTACAAGAACTTTCAAGTTCGATTTATGTGGGCAAGTAAATCTTTTGAACTTCTTACCAATGTAATGAATTCTTAGAATTGTTAAAATTACGAATTCTTTCTTTACAAGAACTTTGAAGTTCCATTCATGTGGGCAAGTAAATTTTTTTGAACTTACCAATGTAATGAATTCTTGTAATTGTTAAAAAGAACTGCTAAACTGAACCACACTAATGTTTAAAAACAAGTAAATTTTTTGAACTTCATGTAATGAATACTTAGAATTGTTAAAAAAATTGTTAAAATGAACCACAACAATGTTTTAAAAAAATAAATTTTCAGAATTGTTAAAAAAAAAAAAGTTAAAAAATGAATTCTTAGAATTGTTAAAAAAAAAATTGTTATAATGAGCCGTTCCAATGTTTAAAAAAAAAACCCGCTGATGGTGGGATTCGAACCATGGTTCGTATAAAATACAATCGCCAATGATAAACAATATGTCATTCTAAAATATTTGATATAAATATAAAGTATTATTCTATTTAAAATTTAAGAAATCAGTTGATCACCAAAACCGTCCAAAATCGGAACCGGCCAGTGGCTGGCTGGTTCCGATCTAACCGGGCGGTTAGCGGTTAGATCGGCCAGTTTGCAAACACTGGTTCTATACACTAGTAAAATAAAAAGAAAAATTGAAAAGGTGAACTTAATCAAATTTATATATTCATAAAAAAGCAACATAATATTTAAATAAATTCAAATATTTGAAGCTCGCGTTGAATTACTAGCTACTTAAGTATTAATTGTCTCTAAATCTCTTTCTTACTCTTTATAATGAAGCTTTGGTTTTTGGAGAGAAAAAAGGGATTTTTATGGGGTTACTCTTCCTTTAACTCTAACTATTATTCTAAGATATATGGTTGTTTTGATGTATTATATTTTGAAGATGGAAAAAGTTTATATAAAGTTGAGAATTAAGGTGTGCCTCTAAAATCCTGTGAAAAAACTATTTTGATGCTGGGAAAACATCTAATTGATCATGTCGACATTGAGATGTAGAGATATCAGAGAAAAACGAGATTTCAAGTCTTAAAAACAGTACATATTGCAACACATTATTTAGACCGTCTATTTTCAATATTTTCATCTGTTTATAGATCTGCATGATTTGAAGTTCAACTTTTGAATTATGTTTAGAATTTAAAAATCTTATAATTAAAGATAAAAATAGATTCTCACACCATCCTAAGAACTTTCAGCACGAAAATTATATCTCGTGACAGAGTTTGATTTGTTAAAGTTACAACCTTATGCATGCCACACCCTTTTAAAAAAAATATTGTTTTAATGGAGACTTGCAAACAATGGTCAAGACATAATCTAAGCTTTCTATTTTCATTGTCAAAATTAAATATAATATTGTTGTATATGGCTCTCCATATACAAATTATTTGTAATTAAAAATTTATAATTGTTTGATCTCTAATCAAATAGTTGAGAGTGTCCCCAATGATGTCGTTAGTGCTAAATGCTCTCACTCATATTTAATACATCACATTATTGTCGATCAATCCCAACCATCTAACCACCACCATATAGTTATTCTTCCCCATAATAATATAATGTATCTATATGAAGATTCATAAAAAAAAACTCTTCCTCTATATTACATTTATAAAAGTACGAAAAATACGAAACAAATGCATAATCAACCTTTGTCAGTTTTGAAATTTTAAAATTTCATAATTAAGAGTAAAACTAAAATTTTAAGTCATCGTAAAGGTTTTTGATACCGAAACTACATCTCCAAACACATTTGAAAGCACCTGTTACTATTAATAATTCCTTATCCAAACCTCACCCTTACACAATAGACAAGAAGAGAGGGCAAACAAACCTGATCTTTGACGCCCCAGTACGGCCCATTTATTTCTCTCATAGGACATTCATCCTGAGCCCATCACCCGCTCATTGGCCCACATACCAGGCCCAAAAGGCCTTATTTCCTGCTCTGCAAAGTGACCAATATACCCGCTATCCAGAGGACCTTTTTGTCATCCCCTTTGCTAAGAGACAAGACAAAAGGTGCAATAAAAAAATCCCCTTGCCATATGTCTGGCCATTAGATCATCTTCATTATTTAAATTCAAAACTTGGAAGTAATACATTGGGATTGCCGGCTATCAATTAACAATTCTCAACATCTTCCAACTCTTCTGCACATTAACAATCAGTCTTCCAACTCTTCATTTCCATTTCTCGCATAGATTAAAGAATGCCTTTTAACTCATTTTCTATTTCTTGACTTCATTTTCTTTTAAGCTTGAAAGAACCCCAAGAACCCATCTTCCATTTAGTTGCCTCCATTTCTTCTTTGCTCGAGACAACCCCAAGAACCCATCTTCTATATCTTCACCTCCATTTCTTGTTAGCTTGATGAAATCCCTTCAAAGTCTAAACCATCCTTTTCTTATAGCTAGTGCACCCAGCAAACTACAGCTCAAAAGCAAAAAGGCAACGGCTAGCATGAAAGTCGTTGCGCGTTAGCGCATCAGTTTTCTTGTGGAATCTTTCTATTCCATAACTTGGAAAATCCCCAAGAACAGATCTTCTATTTCTTTGCCTCCATTTCTTCTTGGCTTAATGACCCATATTTTATTTCTTCACCTCCATGTGTTTTTAACTTTAGAAAAGCCCATCTTCTACTTCTTCAGCTATATTCTCCTATATCTTGACCTTAGACCCATCTTCTATTTCATTGCCTCTATTTTTTGCTTAGCTTGAAAATTTCCTTTAATCCATCTTCTATTTTCTTCACCTCCATTTTTTTGGCCCGAGAAAAACCACTTTGACCCATCTACTTTTCACCTCAATTTATACATTAGCTTGAAAGGGGTCTTTTGGATCACCTTGATCTCACAAGAAAACATGAATTCCGGTCGCTGGAGAATTTTCGGGCCAGCGGAAACCAGCCGAAAAGACAAAGATGATGACTTGCTCCTATTTAGAGAGATGAAGAATAGGGACAAGGAGAAGGTTGCCAGCCTTCTCCAACCCGTAGTCTCGGGGGAGTTTGAACCTGACTATGGTAAGTCTCTTTAGCCATTGTCCAGTTTCACCATGCAGTCGTTTAAACTATGCCTTCTTTCTAAATATTTGCTGCTCCTGCGAGCATATTCTGTCTATTTGCTCCCTCGGGTAAAACAAAAGGTAGAAGCATTTTTAGGCCCTCCAATTCCAAGGATGTAACCTCTTGAACTTAGCAACCAACCTAGGGAAAAAAATAAAAAAACACGCCTGAAGAATCAATGTCCCAAGCGGATAGTTCAAGTTTTGGAGAGCAAGATCTTTTTAAGTGTTGAAGAACACAAAATCCATTTTTTTTTTATTAAATAATCATCTTATGCTTAAGTGGAACCCAAATTCAGATTAAGAAAATAAATCCTCCGAGTGGCTCTTTTGCCCAATGCAGTTATACACAGTATGCTCTTGCAGGAGCATGCTACATATTCTCATGTTTTTTTTCCCCATTAAGTTTGAATTTCTCACTAGTTTGGATCGGAGTTCTGTTGAATTTCAACATGTTTCTTTGTGCTTAGTTTACTATTATGATCGGCTCTGATTGAATTGAGACATCGATCAATGGTGAAGATGTGCGTGGTGCATATAACCTCCATGCACCAAGTGAACATGATCATTTTCATTCTCTTTATTTGGCATTTACGCTGTCTCTTGGGCAAAAGAGCTATTTAGGATAATTTTTTTAATCTAAAATTTTGTGGTCCAATTTAAGATTGCGACATGATTTTTTTTTTTTTCATAAAAAAATTGCATACGAGTTCTGAAGCACTTAGATCTATGGCCAAAATTGGAAGATCACCGTTCAATTGTAAGACTGTAAATTTCATTGTTTTCTTGTTTGGAGGTTGGGAGGCTACATCCCCAATCTAATCAAATTTACTCTGACATATAAACTTTTGCCATTTAAGATACATAAGTATATGTATAATTTTCATTTGTCATCATGGGCATCATGTTATGATAGAGATTTTGGATTTGAACCTCTAGCAAACTATCTAATCAAATAAAATTTATGTGAATATTTCTTATAATAAGTGGCATTTAAAAAATGTCTCCCATATTTTACATTTTTTTGTGTTTTTTACTTTTATTTTTCAAAGTAACCCCTTATTTGGAATTATTATTTCTAAACCGCTCATTATAAGAAATCAAAGCGGTATAAATTATTAGTTCTGAACCGTTTGTTGTAAGGAATCAAAAAGGGTCGAAAACCATTTGCTCATTATAAAGAATCAAAGCGTTCTAAATTAATAATTAAGTTATCTAGAACTATTAGTTACAAACTGCTTTGAATTTTTACACGGATGCAAAGATAGATCAAAGCGGTCCGGAGCTATTAGTTCCAAACTAGCTAGTAGAATTCTGGTGAGCACTCTAAAACTAATAGCTCTAAATAGGGTATTTTAAATAAGATAAAAAACCATGAAAAATAGTATATAAGTGTAAAATATAAAACATGGGTGACATTTTTAAATACTGTCAATTATAAAGGATCTTAATGTAGGTTTCTCCAAAGCAAATGCAGGCTCAATCTGGGCTATAAGAAATGGAAATGTATATATCAGAGAGATCAACTTTGGTATACAAAGGCCACGTCACAATCATCCCATCCATTGGATGCAAAATTGCCGCAAGCGCGTGTCATCCATGGGAGTGGGGTTAGGGCATCGGTGGTTAGGGGGTAGATGCGTCAACATAATATCCCACCCTCCATTCCTATTGTTAACAAAAAAGAAAAAAGAAAAAAAAGGTGTCATTCACATAAAGTTCACAAAAAGTTAGTCAAAAGTAAACATCGGAGCCACCCAATTTCAAATTTGACAGCTTCGAGTGACTGAGACTCTATCTGAAAGATAAACGGCTTCATTATATACTCTCTCATATAAAAAACACCCACCTCATGCACAGTACAATGTTTATCATCCATAGTGGTACATGATTCAACCAAGCTTGATTATTCAAAAACGTTTCATCATTTACGCGGTCAAAAATCTAATTAATTTTCACTAGTTCTTTTTGACATTTTAAATTTGAAGTTAATATTCAACAATGAAAACATAAAATAATTTGACATTTCATCGATTAAATTTTCAATGTTTGCGTATTTGCGCAGCAAATGGAACCCCTCCGATTTTTCGAATTCCCTCCGGCAAGAAAGGAACAGGAAGTGAGTTTTGGGCATTAGATGGAAATAAAAACGACTATAATTGGTAATTTCATGAACATAATTTTTTGATTTTTTTTTTTTTCATTTGCTGTAGTCATTGAATCATAATTCTATTTTTTGAATTGTTTTTGTTATCAATTTTTTTAGGCTTAAGACACCACCAGGAACTCCTCTGTTCCCATCATTAGAAATGGAGGCAAACAATCCAGCATTGGTTATTCAAAGAGAAATTCCAATCTTGAAAGCTCCCCTTACTATCAAAACATCAAGGGTAATGTGTACTTTTTCCTAATAAATAAATTTTTTTTTTTTGGTGGTCTTTCATTTATATTTTGTTTTTTTTTTGTGTATGTGCGCACGCGCTCATATGCGTGTATTTAATCACCCTATAACTAATTAGGCCTTAAACTATGTTATTATCAGTTTGCAGACCAGAAGAAATCGACCATTGGGGCAACTAAAACTAATCCTAATCCCAAACCCGCCTCAACATCGCAAAGATCCCCAAAATCGGGTTGTGTGTCAACTAGTTCATCTAGGTCCGGCAGTCCGAGTGCTAGACGGATTGCGACGAACTCCAAAGCTACAAAGGTTGTTTCTAATGCTCATGCAAAAACCTACGTCACTGAAACTAAGTCGAGACCTAGAGCTTCAGAGGGGACTGCATCAATTACATCTGTAAATCAGATTTGCTCTGATGTTGATGCTAGAGTTATATCCCCTCTGAGAAACATTGGCTTTAATACCATTGCAAAACATTCTTTAAATGGAATGAATTTCTCTGATTCAAATGAACAGCACAATGTAGGAACAATTGGAAGTAAACACAACCCTGAAAGATCCCCTAAACCTGTCGAATCCAAGCCCACAAGGGGCTTGTCACCATTTGGAAGATCAATGGCAGCCATTGCAAAGATTGAGGGATTCTCAAATGAAACTCCCTCAAACTTGAGGACGACCATCCCGAACCGCCCACCCTCGAATTCAAGAGGCAGACCAGGAGCCTTGAGCTCCGAATACCGTCACAGACCCTTGGACGAAACACCTTCTAACCTCAGGTCTTCCATTCCAAACCGTTCTACCTCCGCTTCGAGAGGAAGAACGGAGATTTCTAACATGGAAAAGCCAAACAAATTCTCAGATGAAACATCTTTGAAACCGAAGATGACTTCTTTGCCAAACCAGACAAACAAATTCTCAGACGAAACATCTTTGAAACCGAAGATGACTTCCTTGCCAAACCAGACAAACAAATTCTCAGATGAAACATATTTGAAACCGAAGATGACTTCCTTGCCAAAGCGTCCTGCATCGACCACGAGAGGAAGATCGGGCTCGACAAAGCCCATGGAAGAAACCGGGAAGATGAGAAGGCAATCATGCTCTCCGAGCACGACACGGGGAAGAAGGCCTGAGAATGAAAGAATCAGCGATCAGAACCCGTTGGCTAAAGAGAAGACGTCAAATTTCTCTGGGGTCCCTGGTGTTCTTGGTAGTAAAATGGTTGAAAGAGTGATGAATGCAAGGAGAACTGGTAATGGAGGGAATGAATCTCAACTCAAAATTCAAACCTCAATGGATGGCTCAGGATTTGGGAGGACGATGTCTCGAACTTCATTAAATATGGCCCTAAAACACATGGTAAGTTCTTCCCATGATCAATAAAAAGCATAAGTTATTATACAATATTTTTTGCAAAAACCAAGTTTATATCTTCCTTAGTTGTCAATATTGTTATTATTGTTGTTGTTATCATTTTATTATTATTATTATTATATTTGGTGCTATTGTTATTGTTGTTGTTGTTGTTATAGAAAAATCTATGTTATTTTTTGAAATTTTACATATAAAATATAGAGTGATTATGTACAGGCCCTAAAATTTTAGGTAAAATATGAAATGTTCCACTTATTGACAAAAATTACAAAAAAGATCGGTCAACCCAACTTTTTATCTTTTCTAAAATTGCCCCTCAGTTAACCCGAATTTTGATTATTTTTTTTTTAATTTTTCATTAGTAATGCATTGCCTTAAAGCTTGGGGCACTGCCCTACTAATGAAAAAACTACAAAAAAATAAAAAAAAGAATCAAATTTGGATTGATTGAGGGGCAATTATGAAAAAATTAAAAAGGAGGGTTGACGGACTTTCTTTGCAATTTATATCTATAAATGAAGCATTTTGTATTTTACCTTAACTTTTCTTTTCTATATATTGGATTAAGGGGTTTGTTCATACTTTTTATCATTACAAACTTATGGAAAACATAAAGAAAATAAGTTACAATAAAATTGACCAAAATACCACAACATGATTCATGGTCGTTTTGGTAATTTTCTTCAAAATAATTTTTTTGCATTTTTTACCAGTGTGATCTAATGTGCCAAATTTGATCTGAATTTGATATGTAGATAAGGGGAAAAGTTTATATAGAGCCGAGGCTCTAAACAATCAAATTAGAGCGTACCCCAAAAATTTCACTAGAATAGATTGTTTTGAAGCCCAAATATCCTCAAATTGATCATCTCAACATCAAGATGCATGGACATGAGAAAAAAATAGATTTCAAGTTTTGGAAATAGCGTATTTTGTAATGCATTTTTGGACTATCAATTTTCAAGATTTTTATAGATTTGTCACTATTTTTAAACTTTAAACTTTATAAATAAATTTGTCGATCTCTAAAGTACCCTTGGGCACAAATTGATTTTTCAAAATCCATTTTTTCAATACTTTCTTCTAATCTCATTAAGATGTATTTTGTTTAATTATACTTTACACACACTTTTCACATTTTTTTGGTATTTTTTGAGATTTGTTTTTAAATTTTAAACCCTTTTGAGCCTAGCCAAGGCCTGCCTAACCTGGACTCAGTCTGGGTTACTCAGACTGGCCCATGGCCAGGTTCCGTTCCTGGTTCGTTCTTTCCTACACTGGTTACTTCTGGTTTTCTCAACTTCAATTGCACCACTTTCTTATACTACTACTATGACTGCTAATACTTTTTCTCAACTTCAATTGTACCACCACCGCTACCGCGACCACCTGTTTTTCTCAATTTTATTGAATTTTTTTTGGTAAACTCCATCGCACTTATCTCATCAAACTATTGTTCCCTATAACTTTAATTCAATTTTCATTTTTTGTGTTCTTTATGTTTTCAATTTACATTTATTGCGGTACATGTACTACTAGAGTAATTTATGTACGGACACCAAATAAATAAATAAAATGGGTTAATTTTTGCCAAAAATTACAATAAAGGTCATTTATTGTAGAGTTTTTTAATTTTTCCTATAATGCCCCTCGGTCCGTGGATGCTATCTCGAGACCCTTTTTAAAATTTTTTTTAGTTTTTTTCGATGGTCTAGGCCGCGTCCTATGTTGTAAGACAGTTGGCGACCATTATGAGGCCCCCATCCTTGGACCACCCAAATTGTGGTGTTACACTACATATAGCGGTCTGAGGTCCCCATCCTCATATCACCCATACTGTGGCATTCAACCACTTTTTAAGTTGTCCAAAGATGGAGACTTCGGACCACCTGTAATGTGGTGTAATACAACAATCTAAGCACTCTAAGGATGGAGACCCCGAATTGCTTGTAATGTGTTGTAATACTATAATCTGGGCAGGGTTCGTCATCCCCACTGAATTACCCAAAAAAAATATGATAATATGGACAGTCTGAGGATGGGGTCTAGGACTGCCTGTAATGTATTGTAACACCACAATCTGGGTGATCTAAGGACCCCAATTGCCTTGAAACATAGGACACGGCCCAGACAATCGAAAAACACTAAAAAAAAAAAAAAAGACCTACACCGAGAGGCATTATAGAAAAAAATTAAAAAACTCTACAGTTGACACATTTCTCATAATGTTTTCCCAAAATCGACCCATATCGTATTTCATTTATTTATTTACTTTGTGTCCATACGTCATTTGTTCTTAAATCTATCAAAATTCTTCACAAAGTCTCTCTCTCTCAAACTTTGGTTATTGTTTTATAGGAGATAGGAAGAAACCCAGCAGGCGAAAATCGCCACTACAATGTTAGGGTATCGAAGAGCTCAGCAACAAGCAGTGTCTCAAGCTTAGAGTCGAGTCCGAGGAACGATTTCGAGTCCGAAACTGGCAAATTTTCAAGAAAGGTTGAACCAAGAAGAGATCCCTTCAAGAGAGAAAATAGGGGAAAATTTGGGAAGATTTAAAAAGCTTCCTAATTTACATTGTTCTTATTTGAAGTTGATCTCATCTCACTTGAAAATGTGATTTTGTGAAATTGCAAGAGCATGGTATGATTTGAATTTGAGTAGCTGAGAATAGATTAGATAGTAATAGTATTGTAAATCCCAGATAGTCTGGATGGATTGGCTGCGCAAGTGAAAAAATTGGTAAAAGATAATTTTAAAAAGGAAAACATTTATATAAGGTTGAGGCTTTAAACAACCAATCTAAAGCACACTGAGAAGAAGTTGCTTTGATGCCTAAAAACCCTCAAATTCAATAATCTCAACCTTGAAATACATTAAACAAAAAAAAAGGATTTCAAGTCTTAAAAACAATGCATCCACCTTATAATGCATTATCTAGACTGTCAATATTCATGATTTTCAAGTGTTCATATATACACTATTTTCAAAGCTTTAAATTTTATAATTAGAGATGAAAATAAAATTTCAAACCATCATAAAGGTCTTTGGTATTGAAAATACATCTTTCGATACTATTTGAAATTGTGCCTTAGTTTGATTGTTTAGGGCCTCGACCTTATACAAACCACAAATTTTAAAAAATAGTGGTAAAAGATAATTTAAAAGAGAGAAATTTATGTACAGACCGGATTATTGATGCCTTATAACAAAATGACCCAAAATGAGCGGTTATTATAAAAAAGGACAAAATTCCTCTTTCTTTTTTTTACAAGTTTGTTTCAGTCCGATATTGTAAACATCGAACCACTTTTTAACCCATCATTCCTTTTGGCGCGGAAGTTCCCCCGAGTATTCAAATAGGAAACAGCCGTCAAGCAGTATCATGTCAAGGAACTCGGGATTGATGGGTGGGGCCAGGTGGTTGGGCCACTCATAACAGGCCCGGATCGCCGGCTCCTTGGCTTCGAGCGCGCTCAGATAGACTTGGAGAGGGTGTACCGAGCGGTGGAAGAAGCGGAGGACCGCACGACACTTGTGTTGCTCCATGGGTTAGAGGTGCGGGCTGCCATGGTGGAAGGGGCCCAATAATATAACCCTGGTAATGAATGCTTCTTTGCGGAGTTCTGTTAGGAAGCCTGGGACTTTGTAAATGCAACGTCGTTTCCATTCCTCAGCCTCCTCCTCCCCGTTTATGGTGACCTCCCCATTCATCAAATCCAATGTCCATTGCGCATGTTATTCTTCCCTTTTTTGGAAAAAAATTCAACAGTTTGCGGTCCGATGTTGGAAACATTGGATCATTTAATTTATGAAAAAATTGGTAGTTTGATATTTCTAACATCAGACAGAAGGTAAAAATTGAACAGTTTACGGTCCGATATTAGAAATATCGGATCGTTTAATTTATGAAAAAATTGGCATTTTGATATTTCTAACATTAGACTGAAGGTAAAAATTGAACGATTTGCGGTCTGATGTTAGAAACAGCAGGCCGCTTAGTTTATAAAAAAAACTGTAAAAAGAAAAAAGAAACACACCCAAAGCCGTCCAAGGGACCTCCGTGGAGAAAAAGATGGATTAAAAAGTTGACAGGGAGCAAACTTATGAAAAAAAAAAAT